TTCATAATTCTCTTTTTCTGTAGCCACTGACGACTTGTCTTGTGGTTTGGAACTTCACATACATAGCATATTGTTCTAGCCTAGTATTGTTTGTATTTGGTAAAAGAGGAGGCTAGACTCTGGTGAATATTGTGCTGACTGGTGTTTCCAAATCTTCCTCCTGCTCTTTCCTTCTCACGTGCTTCCCCCATCTTCTCTCCTTCCAGGTCAGTGCTTGAGAACCAAATGAATGGAACTATTCCAGAAACAATATGGACCCTCACTAAACTCACAATACTGTTAGTTCGCCTTGCCTCTTCCAAGCATGCCATTTCTTCCAATCCGTTGTCTCATTCACTCCTGTTGTTGCCGCCACTTCGTTCATTTGGGCAATCATGAACAGTTCTGTTGAATCTATGCATTGTAACTGCATTTTTTTTTTATGTTGCTCTGCATGTAAAAATTCTCGATCTGTTTCCGGCTGATTGCTATGCCCTTATGTATCTTCTTGCTTGAACCCTTGGCTGTGCTTGCTTACTGACCTTACAGACTTGGGTTGCCTGAAATCATAGTCAACATATCTAAACCTGAAAGCGCGCTCTTACACATACATGCTTCCCTGCATTGATTCATCCAGCATCCAAATTTGATCATGCTTTTAGACAATGCATTGCAACCAATGTGAATTCCAATACCCCCGCCATACCAGCGCCTTATGCGGCAACCCTTTCTCCGGTTCTCTATCCACCTCTGTCAGCAACCTCGTCAACCTGGTTGAACTGTAAGGAACGTCAAAGAGAAACGTGTCACCAAACCAAAGAATGCCACCACCATGTGTATTATTGACGGAATCTCATCATTCATCTGGTTGGATTCACTCAGGCACCTCTATCTCAACGACTTGGAAGGCCCTATCCCTGCAACTGTAGGAGGTCTAAAAAACCTGACATACTTGTAAGGCTTTCCCTTCTCTTCCTTGATTTTCTCCGCTACTGTGGGTTCCTACCCTGTTGCTTGCTCCCACACGTTTATGGCATCAGGCTTTCTTGCTTTAGCGAGCGCTGCAGTGGCGCATTCTTTCCATCCAACTTCACAACTTATCTCAAGTGATGTTTCTCGTTGCAATCGAGTCGCTTACAGAACTATCAACCGATGTTTTTCAGGTTCCTTTACCATAATCCGACTGACCTGAGCCCCCCTGGTTGCTCATCGCTCGCAGTAAATTCTATGGCAGTGGCCTCACCTGCCCACTTGACAGCAGCAGCTGTGTTGTAACTCAGAACCCATCAAGCGCTTTCTGCGACGTGTGCACGTCCTTCTGTGACACGTGCTCAGAGCCTGTGGGTGAGTTGTTGTAGTACCGTTTTCTAGGTACCAACATAACTATTCTTGCCCCTATTACCATTACTACTGATGAAATCATTGAATGCTATATATATATATATATATTTTTTTTTTTTTTTTTTTCTGTTTGTTTGTTTGTTTGTTTTTTTTTTTCGCAGCACGTTCTACATTTTTTTTTTGGTTGATTTGTTTCAGTGTATCCTATATAGAAGCACAGCCCCGTCATGTGACTACAAGCACGGCCCCAGTTTTAATAGCGGGGTGACGACGATTCCAGATATACAGGACCGCTGCTCAAGCAACCACATACTCTTTCTAAAACAGTCTTAATGCATAGCAAAGTAGTAGGCATGCAACACCAAGTTCATGACACGACAGGCACTTTCAATGTTAACAAGTGATGCAAACTAATATTTATTGACCTTGATCACCTTATTATCCACCCCGCCCCATCCATCGTGCTCCCAACCACATCCCATTCAGCGCCCCCATCAAGCCCCCCTCCTTCTCCTTCCATCGCCCCACCCTCTCTTTCACCTCCTGTTCTCCTTCCACCTACCTCTCCTCCACTGTCGCCATCCCCCCCATCCACTTCGTCTCCCTCATCTGCTTCCTCATCCTCCGCATCCTTGCCATCCTATTCCTCATCTTCCGCACCTGCCTCTGGTGGGGGAGGTGGCTTGTCGACGGGAGCCATCATTGCCATTGCTGCTTTGGCTGTGGTTGCTCTGCTGCTGCTGCTGCTCGTGGTCTGGTTTCTGCTGCGCCAGCGAAGGCACAAGGCAGCCAAGAAGACAAGCGATCAAGGTGAACTAGCAAAAAACCCAGAGATGAGCTGGCCTGTAGGCTGTAGGCCACAGGTGAGCTCGCATGCATGCTGCATTGCTGGGTATGGACCGTTTATGAACTCGTCCCACATTGTGGGCATATGGTTGGCACATGGTGGGCACGTGGTTGGCACATGGTTGGCGCATGGTTGGCACATGGTGGGCACATGGTTGGCACATGGTTGGCACATGGTTGGCGCATGGTGGACATATGCTACATTGCTTTGTGGAACGTGTATTGCTGTGCCTCACTATTCAGCTTGCTGTCTCGTATTCTAGCCACGCACGCACGTTGCACTCCAACAAGTCTGTGTTCAGCCGGAGTCTCAACATGCATGAAGGGCCCCCAATCTCTTCCTGTCCCCGCTATTGGAGCCACAGCAGCTGAATCAGCATCGGCAGCAGCAGCAGTAGCAGGAGGGGCAGGGGGACAGGGAGCACATGTGGTAGCAGTAGAACCCGCGTGGGGCAATGTGTGTTGGGAGTATTCACTGGATGAGCTGGCACGAGCAACGAACCAATGGGCGGAGGGCAACAGGATTGGGAGTGGGAGCTTTGGAGATGTGTACAAGGGAGTGTCTCCGTACGATCCGAGCGAGCTGTGGGCTGTGAAGCGGGGCAGAGTTTTAACGAACGACTTCCAGAGGGAGGTATGCACATCTGTGCGTCTGCTTTTTTTTGGGGGGGGGACCGTAACACCTGAATGTGTAGCATTTGTACGTGATGTGCTTCCTAGTCCTTTTAGAATCGGTCGTGCTTTTATCTGTTTCATGGCTTCACTTCTCTGCCTGCGAGAGTCCAATGAATCTTTATATTTTCTTGCATACCACTGCCCTACCCTGCTTCACAAGCAGTTGCTCGTTCTCTTAGCTGTGTTTCAGCTAGGTTTCTAATTCTATATGCCAGTCAAAATCACCTGTCATGGCAGGTGCGGGAGATGGCAACAAAGAACCACCTGAATCTGGTGCGGCTGCTGGGGTTCTGCAAGGACTATGATGCAGCGACGGGGCACATGGAGCAGATCCTGGTGTACGAGTTCATGGAGAATGGCGACCTGGAGGCGTGGATTGGACCAGGTGATGACATGGTCGACTCAAACACTGTAGTGTGCCATTGTCACGAGGTGACTTTTAAGTCGGCTCATGAATCAATTCTGCAAAAACTGTGACGCGACAGGGCACATGGAGCGGATCTTGGTGTATGGAGAGCGGCGACCATGAGGCCTGGATTGGATGAGGTGATGATAGGACATGGTAATCGCATGGTTTGGTCCGGAAATTGGTTGGTTTTGACTGGGTAATCACATGGTTTGGACCGGGTAATTGCACTGTTCGGACCAGGTAAGGGTTTGTAGCACAGGGTTGGGACAAGGTAATCACACGGTGTGGACCAGGCAATTACACGGTTTTTACTGGGTATTCATATGGAGCATATTTCAGTGTACGAGTTCATGGAGAATGGCGACCTGGAGGCGTGGATTGGACCAGGTGATGACTGAGTCGGCTCAAAGAGTGTCCTGTGCCATTGTAACGAGGAGTGTTGTCTGCCATTGTAACGAGCTGACTTTTGAGTCGGCTCAAAAGTCAGTTTTGGAAGGACTATGATGCAGTGACAGGGCACATGGAGCAGATCTTGGCGTATGAGTTCATGGAAAATGGCGACCTGGAAGTAGTGATGATTTGGATTGGGCCAGGTGATGACGTGGATTGGACCAGTTAATCACGTGGTTCAAGTCAAGTGGTTGCTTGATTTTATCAATATAAGTATGGCGCCATCCCATCCTATTCCCTTTTCTATCAATGTAAGTTACCTGCTCAGTAGAAATTGGGGGGTCTTATTCACAACCCGTGGATAGCATGCTGCAGTGCATCTCGATCAGTACGCGGAACAAGGTCAAGCACAGCTAGGAGCAGGGGGGTGTCTTTGTTGGGGAGGAGAGTAGAAAGTAGAAACGTACCCCCTCTGTACCTGGTTTACAATGGACACGTCCTCGTGATTGCACGAGTACATCGTGGCCCGTCCCTCCCTATTACCTCGCCACAGCTTGGAAGCTAAGCCACAAATTACACAAGGAAAACATGGCTTTCTCTCGTTTTGATTGTTTTTGTTGTTTCCTCGTGCAGGAGCCTCCAAGCCTCTGTCGTTGGTGCGGCGCCTGGACATCCTCATAGAGGTGGGCAAGGGGTTGCAGTACCTGCATGACTTTGGCATCGTGCACCGTGACATCAAGCCTGCCAACGTGCTTCTCAATGCCAAGATGCAGGTACTTCCCAGGTTCCCTAAAAACCGTCTCATGAAACATGTGTGGCCTGCACTTGCCACCTTGACCGGCTTTCTTTGACGGCGGAGCTAGCTAGCTAGCCTGAGTCATATGCACGTATGCACAGAGCTATCATATATTTGGAACCTGATCTAGACATGAGTTCCCTGTAATGCCACGAGTGATGGAGGTAGGGAATGAAGGGATTGTGACAAAACAGTGAAGGCATCAGAATATTGTTGTCTCACTTGCAACAGCACTTCCATCAATCCATTTTCCCTAATTCACCAATCCATCAGTTATCCATCAATTATCTATCAGACATGCAGGAGAAGTTGACCACTCAGCTCAACAGGTGTGCTCCATCACTCAGTAATAAAGCCTCTGATCACAACCGGTATGTGTGCAGGCTAAGGTGGCGGACTTTGGGCTTCTGAGGCTTGGGGAGGGCACCTCGGTGGCAGCGACTCGAGTGATGGGCACACCGGGATATGTGGACCCTGCTTACTACATGTCACACAAGGCCACTCCAGCTGCCGACGTGCACAGGTACAGTGCGGTACACAAGGATGATGGGCACACCGGGCTATATGTCTCACAAGGCCACTCCCGCAATAGACGTGCGCAGGTAAGGTGTGACACAGCGAGGTCATGGCAGGCTGTCCTGTTCATGAGCTGCCTAGATGATGCCGCCCATATATAACAGATGATGCCTCCCATATATCCAAGGTGTCTAGAAGATGCCGCCCATAAATACGAGGTGCCTAGATGTTGCCGCCCATAATTTAAGGTGTCTAGATGATGCCATCCATATGTCCAAGGTGCCTAGATGATGCCGCCTATATATCCAAGGTGTCTAGATGATGCCGCCCATACATCCGAGTTGCCTAGATGATGCCGCCCATAATTTAAGGTGTCTAGATGATGCCATCCATATATCCGAGGTGCCTAGATGATTCCGCCTATACATCCGAGCTCAATAGATGATGCTGGCCATATATCCGAGGTGCCTAGCCTAGATGATGCCATCCATATATCCGAGCCAAGCTGCCTTGATGATGGGGCATTTCCTACCAATTTTCAGAATCAATTCGAGGGTCCCTCACATGCCACATATCTCCGTCACATGCCAAAGACTTCTCTCATGACCCATTTCCATGTTTGTTGTGGCAGCTTTGGCATGTTGGTGCTGGTGGTCATCACGGCACGCAAGCCCATCTACGTCACAGAGGACAGCCAGATCAACCTGAAGAACTGGGTACGGTAGTCCCTGTTGAGAATACTCAACAGCAACAACTATCAGGTCAACTAGAGGAATATTTTTGAATGTTTTTTTATTTGCTAGTGAGAATCCTTTGAGGATATTCGAATAACCTGACTGAAGGACTTGGCACGAGGAGACTATGTGCTGTGGTGCGGCTATGTGCTGTGGTGCGGCTATGTGCTGTGGTGCGGCTATGTGCTGTGGTGTGGCTATGTGCGTGCCATCCCTCCCACTTGCTCCATTCCGAAATCATAAAATTTCTCACGCCATTCCCCCTTTCCCTTCAACACGACCCTAGTTTACCTCTGCTCTACTTGTTTTCTCACAGCAAGCACAGCCCCACCCCACTGTTGCCTGAAATACAATCTTGGGCACCAAGCATCCTCATCTCGCCTCGAGAGATGCCTGTGTTCCAAAGATGCGGCCACTCACCTCGCCTTGCACTCACCTCGCCTTGCCCTCACCTCGCCTTGCACTCACCTCGCCTTGCCCTCACCTTGCCTTGCCCTCACCTTGCCTTGCCCTCACCTTGCCTTGCCCTCACCTTGCCTTGCCCTCACCCTGCCTTGCACTCACCTTGCCTTGCCCTCACCTTGCCTTGCCAGCCTTCAAGGACCCTCACCTGGCCACCCTAGACGACCTGAGGTGACTTCTCAGTCGATTCAAACCCCCCTTCACCCCCTCCCAGGTGGCTCTGCTAGCACCACCCAACATCGCTGTACCATCGTTCAAGGACCCTCATTTGGTCGCACCGGACGATATGACTATAGTGTCAACTCAAAAGTCTTCGCGTGCCCATAACCCCCACGCCTCCCACAATCAGCCCCTCCAGATGGCGCCACTAGTGGCATCCAGCACTGTAGTAGCCTTCAAGAACCCTCTTCTGCTTAGGCCTTCATGACCTGCTACAGCGCCTGAGGTGACGTTTGAGTCGACTCAAATTTCCCCCTCATATCCCACCCAGGTGGCACCACTAGCATCACCCAACGCCAAGGCAGCCTCAAAGAACCTCATCTGCTCGCCCCACAGGACCTGCTGGTGCGCCTGAATTGCCTCTCCCTTGCCTTCCACTCATGAGCCCCATAACCCCCGCACTTCGCCCTAACCACTCCCAGGTGGCGCCACTAGTGGCATCCAACACTATAGCAGCCTTCAAGGACCCTCATCTGCTCGCTCCAGACGACCTGCTGCTGCGTCTGGCTCGCCTTGCCCTCGCCTGCACGGCCATGCCCACGGCGTCACGCCCCACCATGGCGCAGGTAGTGGGGCAGCTGCAGGCGATGCAGCAGGAGGTGGCGGGGCGGGAGGTGGACCGCGCTGCTGTGCGCATCGACAGGGAGATAGAGGGCGCTGCTGGCGCTGCTGACTTTGATGCGGAGCTTGCACGGGCCATGCACGTGGGTGGTGGTGGTGGTGGTACCAGCAGTTCCTGACTGGAGTTGGGTGGTCAGCAGGAGATGGCGGGGCGGGAGGTGGACCGCGCTGCTGTGCGCATCGCCTTGGAGATAGAGGGCGCTGCTGACTTTGATGCGGAGCTTGCCCGGGCGATGCACGTGGGTGGCGGCGGTGGTGGTACCAGCAGTTCGTGACCGGCGTTGGGTGATCACTACATGTCTTGGATAACGAGATAGCACAATAAGCAGCAGTTGATGTCCTGGGTGGTGGTACTAGTGGTTGATGGCAGGAGTTGGGTGATAAGCAGTGTGTTGCTGACATGAACGCCGCGCTTGTGATGGATCACTTGGCTGTACAATAAATGCATGTGGGTGCTGGCAATAGCTACTTCTAACTAGAGTTGGGAGATATCTGCATACCATTGGAGTGCAAGACTGCACAATAGGACTGCCATTGCGGGTCATTGGTACAATAGGGCTGTGGTGCTGCTACCTGTATAGACAGCAAGCAAGGCTGCATTGCTGTTGGTGGGGTTTCTCTAGCCCTGCATGGTAGCAGCGGTAGGGAGCAGCTCATTTTGATAGTTATTATGCCTGAATACAAGCTTAAGAAACAATTGTCCCTTGGTTCGTTGACATTGGCCGATGCATTGCATGGAGATGAAGGCTTGCTAGGGGCTTCCCTACAGCCGAAACATGTTTGTCCGTGTTTTAGCCACTGCTTAGTGAAGAGCTTCGTTTCTACAGAACCCTACGTGAATCAGCCAGGATTTTACTACAACTGTTTTCTCCTTTGTTAAACCTTCTCCCTTAAACTGCTGCTCGCTGGAATGTCTCTTAATCTGCATTGCATGGATGCTGCCGTGGAAGGAATGTCCTTTTGCATCCCACGGTATGATAAGATTGCCATTGCAACCTTCATCAACCTAACTCACTTTTCACCAAGAATTTCAAAATTGCAACAGTCTCAGGGCCCTGGAGGTAGGGAGGGTGTCGATACACACTGCCAGTCTCCAGTCTTCTGTAGTACTCTCCTGCAAGAGTAGGAAGAGTTTCGACCGCAGCAAGCCCACGAATCTCGCGTCAGTAAAACACTAGGACTGTTCTACGCGTACTAGGGTCTCCTCCAGTCTCCTTTAGTACTCTCCTGCTGCTTTCCATGCGCATCTCAACGAGTCGCCGTCTGCTCTCTGCTGTCACTTCTGCAGTAACAGCTCGCAGCTCACAACTCGTGACACACATGGCGCAGTGCACTGCCATCAGAGCAAGCACTGCTGTCATACGCACTATGCCGCAGCACCTCATACGCACTATGCCGCAGCACCTCATACGCACTATGCCGCAGCACCTCATACGCCTCCACCGCCCCTTTTGAACCGCTCCTCTGTCACCCTCCTCCTCCCCTTGTCTGCATGCTGCGGCCACACCTCACACCCCGCCTACACTCCACATTGCCGGCCGTCGCACCCCACACATCACCACCCCACACCTCACACTCCGTACACCTCACAGCGCACCGCTGTCATATGCACTGCGCATGCTGGGATCCCTCAGCACCTCATACGCCTCCGCACCCATCACCACCCAACACATCGTACTCCAGACCTCACACTCTTCACGCCTCACACCTCACAGTGCACCGCTGTCATACGCACTGCGCTTGCCGGCATCCCGCAGCACCTCATACGCCTCTGCAATCCTCTTGAACCGCTCCTCCGCCGCCCGCCGCTTCCGCTCGTCAGGCTGCCTGTCCGGGTGCGTCTCCATCGCCAGCTGGCGGAACGCAGATTTGATTTCCTGCTGACTCGCCTGCCGCCCTTTGCCGGCCAGCCCCAGAGCAGCATAGTACCCCTTTGGGTCTGAGCTTGTCCGCCCTGACCTTGTCTGCCTTGACCCCTGCTGATGCTGCTGCTGTTGTTGCTGCTGCTGCTGTCGCCCGTACTGCTGCTGCCACTGCTGCTCCCATTGCTGCTGCCAATGTTGCTGCCTCCTATCCTGCTGCTCCTGCTGCTGCTGCTGCTGCTGTTGCTGAGTGCGTTGGTAGCTGCTGCTGCCGAAGCTGCCACCAGGCCAGGACGAGGCTCCTCCTCCCCGAGCCATGCGTTCAAATTCCCTCCACACGTCCTCCGGACTCACAAAGGCTCGGCGAAAGACCCGGAAGTTGCCGAACCTGTGGAGCAGGTTCGGGAAGAGAGTGGAACATGATGGGGGAGAGTAAGGGGTGGGTTGGGAAAAGGAGTGGTTCTGGGATTAGGTTCGAGTGCGGAAAGGGCAGAGATGAGATGAGGGGTGTGGGGGTTGAGGTGGCAAGTGTGCTCCGTGCATCAGAAGATGGACTTGACACATCACATGCATCGAGACAAGTGGGGAGAAGTGATGACTTGCGAATGGAGGCAGCCGGCAACTTGGGGTAAGAGGCCAACTTGGGGTAAGAGGCCAACTTGGGGTAAGAGGCCAACTTGGGGTAAGAGGCCAACTTGGGGTAAGAGGCCAACTTGGGGTAAGAGGCCAACTTGGGGTAAGAGGCCAACTTGGCACAGAGAATGAGGAGGACGTTTGAGAGAAAAGGAGCAAGACTTGGAGCGATTGGTCAATTCAAAATCCAGGCACAATTGGATTCAGGCACAATTGGATCGGGCATGAGGTGGGTTGCAGCTATCGGTGCTCTTGGTGTTGTCGACGGTGATGCAACTCATGCTTCCCATCCCATCCTACTGTCGCTGCCATTGCTGAACCATGACAACAGCAAGAGCAGAAACACATGCTTCAGAGGGTGGCAGTGATCGTGCTACTCTACCCCCTCAGCGCCAACAGTGCGTGAAATGTCCCACTCATGTAACTTGGAGCAACCATGACGCACACTCGATTGAACTGCAACAGCCATCCCGCATTCCCCCCAACCCACTCCTTGAAGCCCTCCTTAATCCAGCCAATCCAGCCCAACCCAACCCTTCCAGCCAAACCAGATCTGCAGCCAGACCAGATCTGCAGCCAGACCAGATCTGCAGCCAGACCAGATCTGCAGCCAGACCAGATCTGCAGCCAGACCAGCCCCGTAGGCCACCTTCCAAAGTGTTCATCACACGCACACACACTTGATGTTCTCCTTTCTTTCCCCACTAACCTGTTCCGCACTGACTCTACTGCACCCTTCCAACCATACTGCCTTCACCCCCTGAATCCCATGTGCCTCACCTGGAACAAGTGCGTTTCTCAACTCACCCTGGAAATCCATCAAACGGGTTCTCAAATGGACTCTCACGCCTTTCACCTCCTCCTGCCCCTCGCCCTCTCGCCTCTCCCCTCTCTGCCCTGCCGAACTCACCCCCTTCCTCTTCCCCCACCTCCTCCTCCTCCATCCCTCCTCCTTCCCCCCACAGCCCCCCTCCTGTTGCCACCTCAGCCACCTCCCTAGCGTGCTGCACGCCCCGACGAATCACAGCGAGCCGAGGGGACACCCTGGCAAGCCACCCAGCGGCCAATGAGAGCGCGCCAACTGTCATCCACCAAGCGGTCGACGCCGGGTGGAAAAGCCAAGGCACGCTGCCCCCCAGGAGGACCAGGTCCAGTAGCGCGGCGCCAGCTGTCAGTGCGGCCACTGCTGCCAGCGTGGATTTCGGTTGGGAGAAGAGGCGGTCTGCGGCGACAGCCGGCGCGGTGGATGGTGCTGACGTGGCGGCGATGACAGCCGTGTGGCGCCAGCTGTCGTGATGGTAAGTTGCTACATAGGATGGCAGGAAGATGGGCTGCTCTGCTTGGCAATGGGTGGCAGCAGAGCCAAGCCAATGTAAGATTGGCACGTGGACAGGGTGAAAAGAAACTCATGTCGGTGTGATGGACAGAGGAGGACAAGAAAAAGGTGTGGATATAAGCAAAGCAGGCGGCCTGACTGACGAGGTCACTAATGGGAGCAGAGCTGACGGTGGTATCAACGATGACGACGATGACTAGTGAGCAAGGCGAGGACACCGCATGAGTGTGGGTCACAGTGAGTGGGAAGGAGGGCAAGGGAGAGAGCGCACCTTGGCAGACACGGAGTGCACGGTGAGATGAATGTCCAGATCTCTCACTTGCTCCGCTTCATAGCGCTGGTAGGGGCGATTGCGCAGCGGGGTTGGGCAGTGGGGGATTGGGCAGGGGGGATTGGGCAGGCGGGATTGGGCAGGCGGGATTGGGCAGGCGGGATTGGGCAGGCGGGATTGGGCGGACGGGATTGGGCAGGCGGGATTGGGCAGGCGGGATTGGGCAGGCGGGATTGGGCAGGCGGGATTGGGTAATGGTATTGGGAGGGGATGGCGGAGTTCATGCGAGTGGGCATGAGATGAGAGGGATTGCCATGGAATATTCGGCAAGTAAAGAAAATAGTAAATAGTAAGGAAACAGGCAAGGCAGCGCATACTTATTGTTGGAATTACAAGACGATTTCAAAACGTGATAACAGGTCCTGAGAAAGAAAGAAAATGCAATAATAGATGGTAGACACACACACGACACCATGGCACACCATGGCAATGTGGCACGTTATTGCATGACATGGGGTTTGTAAACAAGGAGCAGCATGGCTCTAGAGAGCAGGCCAACGCAAGCAGTGCAAGGCAGGGCACAGCACAGGACGGGGCGAGGCTAGCACAAAGCAGAGCAGGCTAGCACAAAGCAGAGCAGGCTAGCACAAAGCAGAGCAGGCTAGAACAGGGCGCACCCATTTGAGGTGGGTGGTGAGCTCTGTCTCAAGATGCTTGATCCACCGCTGCTTCACCACCGCCCATGCACGCTCCCTGCATGGCACATATAATTCGCCATGCACCGACCATAATCACGCACACATCATATTCCACACACATCATATTCCACACACACCATACTCCATGCACACACCATCACAAGCCATGCACACACCATCACAAGCCATGCACACACCATCACAAGCCATGCACACACCATCACAAGCCAATGGACACGTAATAAGCTATGGGCAGAAAAAATACTGCATGTCAGGTGTGCATGACTGCATGGTTCAATTCAAGAGGCCTAAACGGTGACAGGCGTGCCTTGAAACCCATGGCATGTCAGCCAGGCACATGGAATGTCAGCCAAGCACATGGCATGTCAGCAAAGCACATGGCATGTCAGCCAAGCACATGGCATGTCAGCCAAGCACATGGCATGTCAGCCAAGCACATGGCATGTCAGCCAAGCACATGGAATGTCAGCCAAGCACATGGCATGTCAGCCAAGCACATGGCATGTCAGTCAAGCACATGGCATGTCAGCCAAGCACATGGCATGTCAGCCAAGCACATGGCATGTCAGCCAAGCACATGGCATGTCAGCCAAGCACATGGCATGTCAGCCAAGCACAGGCATGTCAGCCAAGCACATGGCATGTCAGCCAAGCACAGGCATGTCAGCCAAGCACATGGCATGTCAGCCAAGCACATGGCATGTCAGCCAAGCACATGGCATGTCAGCCAAGCACATGGCATGTCAGCCAGGCACATGGCATGTCAGCCAAGCACATGGCATGTCAGCCAAGCACAGGCATGTCAGCCAAGCACATGGCATGTCAGCCAAGCACAGGCATGTCAGCCAAGCACAGGCATGTCAGCCAAGCACAGGCATGTCAGCCAAGCACAGGCATGTCAGCCAAGCACAGGCATGTCAGCCAAGCACATGGCATGTCAGCCAAGCACATGGCATGTCAGCCAAGCACATGGCATGTCAGCCAAGCACATGGCATGTCAGCCAAGCACATGGCATGTCAGCCAAGCACATGGCATGTCAGCCAAGCACATGGCATGTCAGCCAAGCACATGGCATGTCAGCCAGGCACATGGCATGTCAGCCAAGCACATGGCATGTCAGCCAAGCACAGGCATGTCAGCCAAGCACAGGCATGTCAGCCAAGCACAGGCATGTCAGCCAAGCACATGGCATGTCAGCCAAGCACATGGCATGTCAGCCAAGCACATGGCATGTCAGCCAGGCACATGGCATGTCAGCCAAGCACATGGCATGTCAGCCAAGCACAGGCATGTCAGCCAAGCACAGGCATGTCAGCCAAGCACAGGCATGTCAGCCAAGCACATGGCATGTCAGCCAAGCACATGGCATGTCAGCCAAGCACTTGGCATGTCAGCCAAGCACAGGCATGTCAGCCAAGCACATGGCATGTCAGCCAAGCACAGGCATGTCAGCCAAGCACATGGCATGTCAGCCAAGCACATGGCATGTCAGCCAAGCACATGGCATGTCAGCCAAGCACATGGCATGTCAGCCAGGCACATGGCATGTCAGCCAAGCACATGGCATGTCAGCCAAGCACAGACATGTCAGCCAAGCACATGGCATGTCAGCCAAGCACAGGCATGTCAGCCAAGCACAGGCATGTCAGCCAAGCACAGGCATGTCAGCCAAGCACTGGCATGTCAGCCAAGCACATGGCATGTCAGCCAAGCACATGGCATGTCAGCCAAGCACATGGCATGTCAGCCAAGCACATGGCATGTCAGCCAAGCACATGGCATGTCAGCCAAGCACATGGCATGTCAGCAAAGCACATGGCATGTCAGCCAAGCACATGGCATGTCAGCCAAGCACATGGCATGTCAGCCAAGCACATGGCATGTCAGCCAAGCACATGGCATGTCAGCCAGGCACATGGCATGTCAGCCAAGCACATGGCATGTCAGCCAAGCACAGGCATGTCAGCCAAGCACATGGCATGTCAGCCAAGCACATGGCATGTCAGCCAAGCACATGGCATGTCAGCCAAGCACATGGCATGTCAGCCAAGCACATGGCATGTCAGCCAGGCACATGGCATGTCAGCCAAGCACATGGCATGTCAGCCAAGCACAGGCATGTCAGCCAAGCACAGGCATGTCAGCCAAGCACAGGCATGTCAGCCAAGCACATGGCATGTCAGCCAAGCACATGGCATGTCAGCCAAGCACTTGGCATGTCAGCCAAGCACAGGCATGTCAGCCAAGCACATGGCATGTCAGCCAAGCACAGGCATGTCAGCCAAGCACATGGCATGTCAGCCAAGCACATGGCATGTCAGCCAAGCACATGGCATGTCAGCCAAGCACATGGCATGTCAGCCAGGCACATGGCATGTCAGCCAAGCACATGGCATGTCAGCCAAGCACAGACATGTCAGCCAAGCACATGGCATGTCAGCCAAGCACAGGCATGTCAGCCAAGCACAGGCATGTCAGCCAAGCACAGGCATGTCAGCCAAGCACTGGCATGTCAGCCAAGCACATGGCATGTCAGCCAAGCACATGGCATGTCAGCCAAGCACATGGCATGTCAGCCAAGCACATGGCATGTCAGCCAAGCACATGGCATGTCAGCCAAGCACATGGCATGTCAGCAAAGCACATGGCATGTCAGCCAAGCACATGGCATGTCAGCCAAGCACATGGCATGTCAGCCAAGCACATGGCATGTCAGCCAAGCACATGGCATGTCAGCCAGGCACATGGCATGTCAGATATGCGCTTTCCACCCAACCCATCGTCTCACCTGGAGACGGTGAAGAGCTCCAGCTGTCTGCCAGGTGTCAGCATGCGATCGGTCAGCGGGGTCGCATGCTTGATTGCATCGCCAGCTAGCACTTGCGCCAGGGAGCGAGGGAGGCTGAGCAAAGAAGCGGAGGAATCGTGAGGGTAAAAAGGGGAAGGGAAGACAAGAAGGGGATTGTTGAGAGATGGTGGTGGTTGATTGCGCCGCCTGCCAGCAGTTGCGCCAGACTGCGGGGCAGACGGAGAGGAGACAAGGGAAAGCGGGGGGAAGAAGGGAAGAGGAGGCGATGGAAGAAAACGGGAAGGGGGAGACACAATTTAGGGACGAAAAGAAGGAGGAAAAGAAAGGTTAAAGAGCGTTTCAAGTGAAGAGTGAGAGGGAAAGCAAGTCAAGCAGAGTGGGGAGGGGATCGAAACGCGAAAGGGCAAAGTCGAAAGACACCTGATGATTCTGAGCCTACAACACCATGTATCATCTCTCTGCACTGCACTGCACCTGGTGGCAGCGTAGAGCTGTATGAGGGGGTCGGTGGAGGGAGCTTGCAGTGGGCGGGAGAGCCACGGGGTGGCCTTCCATGCTGTGTGGCGATGCTGGTGAAGCAGAGGGAGGGGAAGGGAGGGGAGACGGAAAGAGGGAAAGGAAAACTATAAGGGCGAGAGAGCCAAAGGGTGGCCTGCCAGGCGGTGTGGCGATGCTGGTGGGAGGAAGGTGATGGGAGAGGAGTGGGGGAAGAAGGGGTGAGCAGGGAAGAAGGGGTGAGAGAGCCAGGGGGTGGCCTGCCATACGGTGTGGCGGTGCTGGTGGGAGGGAGGGGAGAGGAAGGGGGGAGAGGGGGAGGGGGGAGAGGGGGAGGGAGGGGGGAAGTGGTGGGGAGAGGGGGTTAGAAAGGGAGACGGAAAGAGGTAAAATAGAATCTTGAAGGGAGGGAACCAAGAGGTGGTCTGCCACACTGTGTGGTGGGATTGGTGGGGAGAAGGCGATGGAGGCGGAGTGGGAGGACGCTGTGAGAAAGATGTGCTAGAGACCGAAATAAAGAGGAAGGAGATTGGGGACGAGGAGGGGAGCATGGAGGAGAAGCGGGCGGACATAGAGGTGAGAGCAGGAGAGGCGGGATGGCAAGAAGAGGGCGGGTGGAACAGAGGAGGAAGCACCACGGTTGAGAGCAAGGAGAGAAGAGCATGGCGAAGTGGTGTTTTATGCAGGTGGTAGACGAGTGAGGGAAGGAGAGAGAAGGTGGAGGGAAGAGAGGGTGGAAGGAAAAGAGGGTGGAGGGGAGAGAGTGTGGAAGGGAGAGGGGTGAGGGAAAAGAGGGTGGAGCGAAAAGAGGGTGGAGGGAAAAGAGGGTGGAGGGAAAAGAGGGTGGAGGGAAAAGAGGGTGGAGGGAAAAGAGGGTGGAGGGACGAGACGTGCAGGGGAGAGAGGGTGGAAGACAGAGGGAGCGGACACGAGCAGGAGAGTGGCCGATGGGGACAGAAGGAGAGCGGACCAGATCAGACTTCTCCTTCCCTCCCCCCATCCTCCCCCCATCCTCCCCCCATCCTCCCCCTATCCCCCCAATCCCCTCTCTCGCCTCCTGCTGCTCCTCATGCTCCCCACCCTCGTGCCATTCTGCTCCTGCCATTCCCCTCCTGTCATGGCGTCTCTCCTCTCTCCCTCCTGTTACAGCCCTCTCCCCCCCCCCATCTTCGTGACTCACCTGCTCCCATCGCCGGCTGTAAGGGTTCCACGCCATGGCAGATGCCGCCTTCCCCACATTCGCCCTGTACGCCACCTCCACTGCCCACACACAGCACACACGCAACAGATGGAGGAAGGGGCACATGGGGGAAGGGGCACATGGGGGAAGGGGCACATGGGGGAAGGGGCACATGGGGGAAGGGGCACATGGGGGATGGGGCACATGGGGGAAGGGGCACATGGGGGAAGGGGCACATGGGGGATGGGGCACATGGGGGAAGGGGCACATGGGGGAAGGGGCACATGGGGGAAGGGGCACATGGGGGATGGGGCACATGGGGGATGGGGCACATGGGGGAAGGGGCACATGGGGGATGGGGCACATGGGGGAAGGGGCACATGGGGGATGGGGCACATGGGGGATGGGGCACATGGGGGATGGGGCACATGGGGGAAGGGGCACATGGGGGATGGGGCACATGGGGGAAGGGGCACATGGGGGAAGGGGCACATGGGGGATGGGGCACATGGGGGAAGGGGCACATGGGGGATGGGGCACATGGGGGAAGGGGCACATGGGGGATGGGGCACATGGGGGATGGGGCACATGGGGGAAGGGGCACATGGGGGATGGGGCACATGGGGGAAGGGGCACATGGGGGATGGGGCACATGGGGGATGGGGCACATGGGGGATGGGGCACATGGGGGGGAGGACGGGGATTTAGTCAAGGGCGCATGGGTGGGTCTACCACCCACCATACCAGGCAGATGTCGCCTTCCCCACACTCGCCCTGTAAGCCACTTCCACTGCCATCAGCATGCCCATGAACATGGTCATACCCATGCCATGCACATGCTCACGAGGGCACAGGGGATCAGGGGTACTAGATACGGCCGGAGGATAACGAGGGGAATCAATCAGGGAAGCGTGGGTGGGTTTACTACACTGTCAGATAACGCCTTCCCCACATCCGCCCTGTGCAAAGCTTCCCCTGGTGTGGGCGCACACGAGGACGGTGGGCGGAGTGGAACGTGACAACAAGGAGGGGATGGGTGCTGTGCCATGGCATGGCATGGCATGGCATGGCAGAGAATGCCTCCTTCGCACCCAGCTCCAATGGATGTGTGCGTGCACGGAGAAAGGGAGGAGGAAGTAAGTGAAGAGAGAGGGGGAAAGTGAAGGAGGGGAAAGTGAGGAGGGGGAAAGTGAAGAGGGCAGCAAGCAAAGGCGCACCAACGATGTGCCAATAAGAGTAATATGCACACATGCAGAGACCCGCGCGCACGCGCACATGCACAAATGCACACACGCACGCACGCACACACACATACACGCACCGCGCGCGCGCACGCACGCACGCACGTGCGCGCGCACACAGACACACACCCATGCACGCATGCGTGCGCACGCGCACGCGAACACACGCGCAGACGCATTCACGTGCACAGATACACGCACACACGCACGCACAGACGCGCGCGTGCGCATACACGCAGCCATTTCATCCCTTCTTGTCCCTACCCTACACCACATCCCCTTCCCCATTCCCCCCCACACCCATGCGCCCACCATCAGCAGTGAAGGTCCAGAACGGTTGGAACATGGCAGCGAGAGCCACAGACGAGTCCACGTCAGCAATGGCGGGCGCCAGCAGGTGTCCCGTCAGGTGTTCTCGCAACAGAGCCCGGGCCTCTTCAGGTGTCACCTGAAACGGCACCGCCATGGGCGTGCGCGGCCGCCCTCCCCCCGCCTGCTGCGCATATCCCCGCGCCTGCTGCTTTCCGCCGTACCGCCGATCATAGCCGCCGCCTCCGGCGCCACAGGTGGCGTTTTTGAGGTTCCTGAGATTATAAACGGCCGCTCCCGGGATGTAGTCGTTGCTGTTGCTAACGTGTCCGGCGATCCACGTGGACGGCTGGGATGCGCTACTGGTACTAGGGGGAAAGGCGGTGCGCGACGGCGTCGGTTTATGCGACGCCTCAAAGGCGGGGCTAGTAGAGGCCGCAAAGACGGTGCGCGGAATCGGCAGGAAGAGCGGCGGAGGAGTGGAAGGATGAACGGAGCGAGGGGTGAGAGCGGGGAGGAGGTGCGGGGAAGAGAACGAGTTGCGGAGAACGAGCCAGCGGTAGACGCGGTGGCACGACCTGGCGCCGCCGCGCATGGCGCAGGGCAATTGCTGCTCACGAGGCTTGAGACGTCTCAAAAGGCGCTGATTATTTAGTCGACTCAAACGTACCCGCGATTGCTTCTCGTCCCAACGTACCAATGCTGCTCATCACTGGCGATTTTGGCTCGGCTCGCAGTGTTTGCGAAAGCACGGGCTGGCATCACCGTGACAAGCGCCCCTCGCGGAGGAATGAGGTGGAGCGGAAGAGGACGGAAACTAGCAAGGGGGAATGTGTCCAGGGCAAATCTGGAATGGAATGGGGAGTCACGATTTTTGACATGTAAGCGCGGATGGAAGTGGCAAATGATTTCATCCCAGAAGGGGAACCAGAAACCATTTGGGGCTGTTTCGTCGTAAAGAGTTCGCATGGTTCGCTTCAGCCGCGCGATATTTGGGCTCTTCGCCGCACTCGCACGAAACCGATTTCGACCCCGCGATATTGGGCCCTGACCCTGCGTTACCAAGCAGAGCGAAGCATTACGATTTCATAGACCAAACCTCACACAACCCTTCCCGAACCTATGGGCGGGTTTGGTTCGTCTTTCTGCTTGCTGGTCACGAGATAGATTCCGTCAGCGAGTCACCACCACCGATTGTGGTTACCGTCAACGTTCCGTTTGGATTTCCCGTCGGCGAACTTGGTTAGAGGGGATGGGACGGAGTGTGGGGGAGTTGAAAGGGGGAAACTGGAGGCGAGCAAAAGGGGAGGATCTGATGGATACACGACATGTTACCCCTCTTGTTCGAACAAGGCCCAAGGCTTGCTTGCATTCAAGCCCTTGAATTTCAAAACTTCAGCCAGACCCATCTCTACGCAGAAGCGTGATGCTTATCTTGAGAACAGCAAGTCGAAATGCAATCCCAGGGTAATCACAGCGCATTGTCAGGTTCTCTCGAGCACTCGAGAGAACCTCTTGAGAGCATTGCAAGGCGACGGACCTCTCGAGCTCCCCGTCGTCCTTCAGGCAGCAATCTACGTGATCCACTGTCTCGTCCTATATAGTCAGCTCGAGGTATTAGTGAACTCGTAAGTCGTTGAATATCGAACAATTTAATTCTAACTCGATCGCACGAATTCAGCCTTTCCCGTCATGCCACGAACCCGCAACCTGGAGAGCATGTTGACTTTCCTGCTCGTCCTTTTTGGTACTTTAATAGGCTGTCTTCAAGTAATTTGTAGCTTCGGAAATGGTCAGCGTATAATTCCTCGTCCCGCGTTTTTCAGGAGCGTGCTTGACTCATGGAGAAAAAACTTCGATTTACGAGCTATGGGACTCCCCCTTGCTGCAAAACAAATACGTCATGTCGCCCGAGAATGTCTGGAACGCTTATCCCGCAGCTAGTGTTGTCGTCTCTGCCGATGGTACAGGAAACTTCACGTCCGTGCAAGACGCAGTGGACTATGTGTCCTCAATGAGTGCGACGTCGCATGCAGTTATCGATATACTACCGGGAACATATAGGTAGGGAGTGTTTCACTGTCTGCATTGTGAAAGCTGCACTTTCATTAGGGATGCTTGACCGAGCAACTGACACAGAGAGAAGGTCTTGATTCCGAAGTCCAAAGTGAGCATAATGCTCCGTGGGTCGAACCCGTTGGAAACCATCATCACCTACGATGACTACGCCGCAAGAGAGCTGGCCAACGGATACGTTTTGGGAACTTTGTGGTCCTGCTCTGTCTGCGTTGAAGCCAACAACTTCGTAGCTGTCAACATCACTTTCCAGGTCAATGTTCTTCCCTCGCCGCTTGTCAAAGTGTTTCAATGGCATTTTCATTGCGAGTTTTTTGACGTATTTTGTACCTTACAGAACTCAGCACCTCCACCACCGCCTCTCAGCAACGAGACAGCCAGTGGTCCTATGGCGGTAGCCCTCCGCATCTCCGGCACGATGGCTGCATTCTACAGCTGTCGTTTCATTGGATGGCAGGACACCCTCTATGATCACAAGGTAAGCACAGGGTATAATGCCTTCGTGTGCAACTTATTGTTCTGAATGTTATAGTTTTCTGAAAGCTCTTGTTGAGTTTTGCAGGGTCTTCACTACTTCTGCGACTGCTACGTTGAAGGGAATATTGATTTTGTCTTTGGCGATGCAACATCCGTGTATGAGGTAACTCTCCTGGTGATTGGATTGGAGGTTTATTGCTCCTATCCTGGATTTCTAACAATGCCTATTACCTCAGGGATGCGTTTTCTATGCCAAAGCCAGGAAGAATGGCGGAGCAGTGGCAGCGCAGTACTGGAGGTCAACGATTAAGCGGTCTGGCTTCGTATTCGTTCGCAGCATCATCACAGGGAACGGTCGGGTGAGTAGATTGATGAGCTGCATAGCGTCATTGTAACTGCAACTGAATAATTGCACTTTGTAATCGTTAAATTCAGGTTTATTTGGGAAGGGCATGGGGAAATGCGAGTAGGACAGTATATGCTTGGTCATATATCAGTAACATTGTACAAAACGGAGCCTGGTACGACTGGGGTGATGCATCCAGACACAACACCACCTTCTTTGCCATGGTAAGTGATGACCCGTCTATCAGAGTCCTCTTTTACTTTTTGTTTTTTTGTTTTTTTTTCTGGATCGAAGTTAACTCCTGCTCCTACTGCTAGTTTGACTGTTGGGGACCCGGAACAAATACAAGCGGATGGGTGCCCTGGAGCCATGTCATCAACACCTCTCAGGCACAGCCGTTCATCTCCTACAGCTTCATTGATGCTTGTCAGTGGCTTGGTCCCCTGCCTCAAGGAGCTGGGAACCTGACTCACCAGCTGGGCTACAGAGTGAAGTTTGATCAAGTTCCACCAGCCCCAACATACCCTTACACTTGTTATTTGGGTAAGTTCTAAGGCTTTGTGATACGTTATATGATTCCTGATGTGGATTGAGACTGAGTGCCATATCTTATCCTTGCTGCAGGCACACCACCACCGCCACCAGTGCCTGTGGCTCAGCCTCCCTCGGCAGCACCAAGTGGTTCACCCGCTGTTGCTCCAACATCACCACCTCCACCTGTAACTGTCTCAGGAAGTGTTCTTTTACCTCCATCTCTCGCCTCCCTGCTTCGTGGTTATCCGCCGCCACCTCTGAAACCACAGCAACAAGCCTCTCCAAGTTTGGCTGCTCCAGCCCCTGCTGGTTGACCATTCTTCTCTTGTTTAGTAGATCTCATGATGCAAAATGTCACCTACAGTTTGCTGCTAGTGCAGTTTGTCCTTAGGTAATTTGCTATGGCATTCACCTTCAACTCAGTTGGCTTCGAATGTTTCTTTCCCCTTGGTGAATATGGTACAGATTATTCCTTCAGTGAACATGCATACTATGAACTACCGTACCATCATATCCCGGCAGTAAGGCCCGAGGGTCGTAGAAGAAATGTACTAGGTGAAATGGGAAAGGTGAACATGTAAGAGAAGGGCATTCTTAGGTACGGCATTCTAAAAGAACATGAATTCGAATCCGTTACAAGAAAACGACCAGGGGTGATACGTTGAACTTTCCTGAAAATCTCGCCAAAATGCTGAGCTCGCCAAGTTCAATGTTAGTACTCAAGCTCCATTTCTCTAGAGGATGAGTTCTTCAGCGTATCCCATGCTTTAGCTTCGACTCTAGCTTCAACGTCGGTCACAGAATTCAGAAATGCGCGAAATTCGCAGCAGTCTGTTCTCGTCAGCAGTCACATATACGAGTCGTCGCTCTGAAGCGTCATTCTAAGCTGTTTCTTCTGGCCTCGCCACTCAAGGAATGGCACGTCCAGGAGGTAGCAGCATAGTAGAGATCGCAACCGCACAATACTTTTCTCCCGCAGACAATGTCGTTCGCAATGCGAGCATTAGGGAGAACATCACATTCGCTAGAGCTACAGACTCTACTCGCGGTGACATCGCGCCTGCGGAGCGCTTCACTCAGCCAACTTGTGCAGACGTTTCGCCTCCATTCAACACGGGAGGATCACACGTGGCACTCAGCAACTAAGGGTATAGCAGTGGCGGCGTGACTCTTGGAGGGAATAACAACCAACCAATCTTCAGCAGCGGCGTCGCTTCAGGTGGTGGCAGCGGCGGCGACGGCGGTGGCAGATGCCCGTCAGCTTCTTGTACTATCTCCGCTACTGCTCTCGAGAACCGCTCTCAAGGCAACGGCAGGCTACCGAACCCTAGAGTGAACAAGAAGCTGAACGAGGCTTATAACGAGTTGCACCGCTTGACGCAGCGCTTTCAGATACCGTTCGTTGCGCCAGCTGTGCTGATCGTGGGGCATCAGACGGCCGGGAAGAGCGCGTTGGTCGAAACGCTGACGGGATTCCAGTTTAACCACGTGGGCGGAGGGGCGAAGACGCGCCGTCCGAACACGATTCAGTTAAAGTATAATCCGGCATGCGTCGAGCACCCAGGTCGGCGTCCTGACGCCTAGGTCGGCGTACAGGCGCCTGGGACGCCATCCGGGCGCCCAGATCGGCGTTCAGAAGCCCGGGATGCCGACCAGACGCCCAGGTCGGCGTCCAGCCTCCCAGGACGCCATCCAGGCGCTCGGGACGCGGTCCAGGAGCCCAGGACGCCGTCCGGACACCCAGGTCAGCGTCCAAGCGCTCAGGAAGCCGTGCAGACGCCCAGGTCAGCGTCCAGCCTCCCAAGACGCCGTCCAGGTGTCCAGGGCGTCGACCAGGCGCCTAGGAAGCCGTGGAGACGCCCACGTCGGCGTCCAGGCTTCTAGGACGCCGTGCAGACGCTCGAGACCGCGTCCTCCTGCTCGACGCCCTCCAACCAGGCGCCCTCCAGCTCGGCGCCCTTGCAGTGGCCCCCGTGCCCACTGCTGTAGGTCGGCTGCATCCCCCGTACACCCGACCACGAGGTCCGCTCCGCCCAAGCGAGGACGGGGCCTAACAACGTTCCCGTTGACACTCCCCTGCCGCGTTCACGCTTGGGCCCCTAGCCCACACGGCAGTACCACTCGGAGAATAGGCCGTCACCATGCATACAACACACAGTACG